TTTTTCCTTTCCTCTGTTAAAATTATGATTTTTGGGGGTGAATCTTCCAATGCTGAACGAACACTGCCATCCCTACAATAAAACCACTTTCTACAAACTGCCAGATCTGACTTCTAATAGTTTGTTTTGTTAAACAAATTTTTATCTATGTTCGGGGATCGAACTTGGGTCCTTGCACTTGCAAGGCAGGCAGTGAAACCACTGAGCTACATTCCAGGCCCTTAGATTCATTCTTTTACATGTAGATAAACAGTTTTCCCAGGACCATTTTTAAAAGAAGCTATCTTTTCTCCAGCATTTGTTTTTAGCACCTCTGTCAAAGTTCAGATAGCTAAAGGTGCATAGGGTTGTTTCTGTGCTTCTGTTGTTTTTCATAGTTACAATTTTCACTTCTTTCAAAAGTGTTGAAAAACTGCTAAAACAGTAGTACAGGCTAAGCATCTATCATTTCAAGTCCTTGGAGCACAGTGTTTTACAATTTGTAATTTTTTGGTATTTGGAATAATTGCATAGACTTTACCTATGGAGCTTGCTGAATCTTGAAACTAAAACAAGTATTTTCACTGCCTATGCTCAAAAGTTTCAGATTTCACAGCATTTTGGATTTTGGATGATATTCCAGAAGTTGGGGATTTTGGAGAATTTTGGATTTCAGATTTTCCAGTTACAGATGCCAGACCAGTACTTGGGCTGATTTTGGTTTAAGTACTAAATTCAAAACTACATACAGAAGAGTATGGCTAAAAGATACAACTGGATAGAAGGAGTAACTTCTAGTGTCCTGTAGCACATTAGGGAAACAATGGTTGGAAACAACTAATTTTATGTTTCAAAAAAGCTGGTAGAAAGGTTTTTGAACATTCTAGGACCACTGAGGTGTTGGATATAGTAAATACCTTGATCTAATCATCACACACTGTATCAAGTATTGAAGCATTACATTATGGACCCCCTTCCCCAGCACACAGGAGGTGAGCCACTCCCAGGGCCCAGGAGGAGGCTTCTGGGCCGCTGTACCACCTCCCTCAGTACACAGGAGGTAAGCCAC